AATTTAAGACCTGTTAGAGCTATAAGCACTGTCAAGGTACATGAACAAAGCAATGACAGCACAACAACCGTGTGGTCAGCAAGAGCCCAGAGCCCGAACAAGCAGACATTTACAGAGGGCTGTGACCAGTGCTGATGGCATTTAAGATGACTGGAGCCTTAAAATGCAGTCTGCAAAGTCTTCTATTGTCAGGCACTGGCTCACCCAGAAAGAGGGCTGGAGAAAGTACATCGGAGTTTAAGCATTTTATTTCAAATATGACATAAACCTACTGCACATCTTTGAAAAACTCTGCTAACTGACACTAACAGCTTTAGATTGTGAAAGGATGAAAAGGTCTGTACAAGACAATGTTTGCTTCATTATCTTCTTCCATGTATTACCAGTATAATAGGAAATGCTGCAGTAGTATCTGAGGAATGAAAAAACAGGAATATGGGGCTTCAAAAAGGAACAGAAAAATAGACCAATCTTGCTGTCTTGGGATGTAGCAGTGGAGTTCAGGATTATGGGCTACACTTGTGCCTGCTGATACCACAGGGAATGAGGATAAGAGCTCTCCAGCCAGGAGCCAGCAAGGGTGGATGGGGGTGAGACTTCAGATGTGTGCAGTCAACCACTGACACAAATAAACTACGGGGAAATAATTCATTATGAATTTTCAAAGCAGTCTAATGAAGATATACATCCTTTCTAAGGGTTGATATACACCAAATTATGCACAAAGGTAGCTCTGTGGGTTTGGTCCTCACTCTCAAGTGACCCTGAGCCCCAGTAATGGTCTGCAAATGCATGTCCTTAGCCTGCTGGCAGTGTAACATACTTTGACACAGCTCAGTGATGAAGGCTTATACCCAAGATTTCATTTCTTTCATTTATATGGTCACGGAGGAAAAAATATTTCAATCATTTTTGACAATCAATTTACCATCTACATGTCCATTACTTTGATATTATTTTCTAAATTACATACTTAGAAAAGAAGAAATTGGATAATTGATTGACAACTTTTGCCAGTGGAAATGCAGATGTTAACAGGTCTCAGCTTGCCCTTTTCTGGTTGCTTTCAGAGCTGAAATTTAAGGAAGTCTAATGGAACTGCACATGTTTCATTAATTCTTCTTTTCCAAGATTTAATGACAAGTAAACAGTTCTAGGGTAGTTAAAAGGAGTATTGGAACAAACAATCACCAGAGACACAGAAGAACAGGTGAAATTTCTGCTTAGATCTGTAAGGAATATTTCACATTGCTAAGCTCAAGGCCTTAAGGTTATCAGAGCCATTTACAAAACACAACTGATGTAACATATTTTCTATTGAAAACCCAGGAAGATCAAAGGAGGATGAGATTACAGAAATGTGATTTGTGTTTCAGTTCCATGAATATATTTGTATGTATGTATATACGTTCCTGTGCGTCCATAGTAACCGCAGCCATAACCCAGGAAGGATGGTGTTGGGAGCTTTGCTCTGAAAATCAAGTAGCCCATTAGGAGGCATAAATATTAATAGAGCTGTCTAATCCTACACTCTCAAATGAGGTAGTTCAGATCATGAGTCTTCGCATTTAAAATTTATTCAGTGCACTGACTAGAATAAGAAACAGAATCCACATGTGGAGAAGTCACTGATGTTGGGCGGTCTCTGAGCCACTGGTAATTCCTAAACATAAAAGTAAGGCTCAAGTGATTTCTTTCCTTATTCTACTCCTAATTCCCCTACAAATACTAATATATCCAAAACTGCACGGGCCTGGCTCCATGACATCAAGTATATACCATCTACACCTCCACATTTTCACATTCTTCCACATCTTCAGGCAATGTTAAGGTTTTAGTACAGGTTCTTAAGAAAGAATACACTGTCATCCCAAGTGCAGAGCACACCAGAAACCTGTGGTTTCTTTTAATGGTCGTATTAGTGATCCTTTTCAAATTTTCTTTATGTAGTTGTCGTCAAATTAGGAAATCCATGGTGCAAACTGTTGCAATGCCAAGAAATTAATATAGAGTACATTAAAACTCCACATGTACTGTCCTCCTAGAGATAGGAAGTTACCCTGTCATTCTGGATCATAAGTAAAATATTTGTGTTTTGACCATAAAGAAAATTAGAAATCTTAAATGCCAAACAGCAGAAAACTATTTAGGTAATCCCTAGAAATGATGAAGAAGTTTGTTAGGACATTCAGGAAATGCCACATAATCAAAAACATAATTAATATCAGTCACTAAAATGGTGTTGCCTACAGTATAACCTAGGGTCTATTAGAATTTAGAGTTATGGAGTCTAGACTCAAGAAAAGCAACACAAAATTAATCAGATGTCTTTGCAATGATTTTCCAAAACCAGCTCTAGCAAATGCAGATTTCTGCATAATCAAAATGGAATTAACAACCTCTGACCTTCATGTACCTGAAGGGAAAGACATAAAACCAGATGCTCTTTCTTTATCTATTAAATCAATAAATTGAAGATTAAGTAACTGAAATACAGGCCTCTATGTTTAGCAAAAATGATTCATGGATAGAATTCCTTTCAGGTAACTTCATGTATCTACATGTATCTTCATCAGATTGCTTCCTGTACTTCAAAATTTTGAATTTTCTCATGTCCCTTAGATGATAATTAAGTATAAATACTAATTTATTTATCTAATTTTATCTATTTCATGTAATAAGAATCAAACCCTATATAATGACAACATATGGCAGTTGGTTCAGTCACTTTGATCTTACATATCCTTTATGAACTAAGAAGATAGTGTAAATGTCTGCCTCTGATATTTGGATTTTCTATTTCCAGTAATTTTCATCTCTAAATGTAATGAAATTACTGCATCCTAAAAATCCAGCAAAAGAGAGAATATTGGGCCTTTCTTCTTCTCATACAAAACCAATGCCATCTCCAAGCTGCAGTTGCTGCTCAAATGCTGTCACTCTACTGCAACTTTGTTCTGCTACATGACTCCTTTTACCACCAGGTGTGGGGACAATCCAAGCCAAGGATGATCCCAGCTTCCATACGGACGAGTAGAGTGTGAGTTGCTACATGTATGCATCATATATTGCATACAATATAGGATTATTACAGATATCTCAGCTGTCCAGGCTGAAGGTATTCAGGACTTTCGCTTGCCAACAGCAAAAGGCAGGCTTCTGCTGTCTTTATTGTGCTGTGTGTGCAATGAATTTAACTGGAAAGGTACCCACTGAATTTCAAATAACTCTCTCCTTATTCCCCCTCCTTCAGGCTCACAGGACAATAAACATGACTTTCTCAGCTACTGGGCTCTCCCTCCCTTTATTTTTGCTATTTTTCTGATTTTTTTTTTTTTTATTTTTTTAATACCCTCTCATACGAAAGATGCTTTCCGAGAACAATGATGGGGATCTGCATCTTTATTTATGACTTTGTGAATCAGCGTCTGGGTGATAGGAAGTGAAAGTTGCTCAGCTAATTACACACGCTTGATGAACTGCGTAATAACTGCTGCAGCACTGCACATTAATTGAATGCATATAAATGACAGCAGTTATTCCAACTTGAATGATGTGTGAAGAAGTGACGTTGCTCACAGTACACTGATTATCTTTATTTCCAGCTTTGGGAATCCAGCTTAAACAACTGTACTTTCAAAGCACTGAGCAAAAATTCCCCAACAGGAGATGCCTCAAAGCCTGACACTTTAGACACAAAATTGCTTTAAGTCTCTGAAAGTGACTTAGACCATCTAAAAAAGCATACATCGAGCTACTACAATTAATAGTTAATAATTAACAACCAGCTGCAACCAACAGTCAGTAGGAGCTGTAAGAGCAAAAGCCTTGGAAACAAGGCCACCTTCATTTAGAGGCCTAGATATCGCCTTAAAAAGCTAATACAGGGTTTACAGAATCGAATTTTGCCCAACTCTAAACATTCTTGCTATGACACTTTCCTAAAATGTATTTGTTTTGGAATGACAGGGACATATAACAAATGATATAAATAATACAGATTACAGGTAATAGGCAACTATGTATGCCCACAGTACCCTTTGTTTTCCCTCAAAAGCATTCTAATTCAAGTGTAGTCCACCTCTAACATAACACATTATTTTAAAAAAACCAATAAAAATAATTTGATGCAAAAAAAAAAAGTGTGAAGTAGTACAAAATTAGCACTTTAAACTAGTACCAAATGCCTACTTCATATCAGCACCAAAATATACCTTCTCTACCGCATGTCAACTGCCCCAGGAATTTGCAAATATTCACAAAGAAATCTGCAAATTCTTCCATACTCTTTAACACGAAAAGGGTAGAAGCCAAGTTTCCAAAGCTTCTAAAAGCAGCCTAGTTTCCAAAGTACCATGTCACAATATTTTAGCAGTTCACCACACTCCTATTAAGAGTTTTTGGGCTTGACAAAGAGAGCTGTAATCACAGAATAAAGGGAATCAACACTCACTTTCAGGAGCGCGTAAACGAAAGAAAGTGTTTCGCATCTACGTTTCAGGAAAGTTAACACTGCTCCAAGAAAACAGGGCGTATCCTGTGGAAAGTCAATGCAGATTTTCAGCCCTGCATTGCTACATTTCATAGCCTTTATGCCATACTACTGGAAGAGAGAACTGTGGAGCTGTGCCAGCACCTCCAGTGGCAGCAGTACCCATCCCCAGGCACAGAGATACCTCCTGTGCCTGCACATACAACATTCTGTGTCCTCACACCAGGCACAGACACTCCTCAGAACCACGAGGCCAAGAGAGAAGCTGCCAATAAGATCAGCGTGAGAGAGAGATGATCAGGTGCAACTGGCTTTACAAACGTTATCTTCCCATCTGCTGTACTTGGTCCTCTCTTTAAACACCTTTCTGGCTCCATTACGGCAAGACAGCCCCTAACAGTCCACAGCACCAGCAATCAGCCTCTTTCAGCTGTATTATTCGTTCTTCCTTTGCAAGGTTTCGATCTCTCCCCCATATTTTTTTTTTTTGTGTCCACTTTATACATACCTCCTTTTCTACATATTTTCTTGCCGGGTTTTCTGGCACATTCCTTGGATATTCTTTTGACTGAAAAATGAATAGAAGACTAGAAAATAACATGGAGCTCCATCACAGACAGTAGGAGCATGCAACACCACTATCTAACTTAAATATGACCTGCTTTATTAGGTGCGGAAGATTCTCAACTTGTTGTGCCTGCACATGCAATGGAAAAGATGTTGATGCATCTTCCCAGAAGTCAGTGGGTGGCAATGAGAATTAGGTACCAACTTTTTGACCTAAAAATACACGTGCTGTGGGAGAAAAAAAAATGAGCGTAGACAGAAAGAAAAAAAAAATAAAAATTAAAAAAAATAAAAAAACAAGGACAAATGCACACAGAGAAAAGCAGCATGCATACATGTAATAAGCTGGCATGCAAACAGAGAAAGCCATGCATGCTACCAGTACACGTGAATTAATATTGTTAGAACGTAGAACAGGAAAATAAAAAGATCTCCCTGTTTCGCCTGCTATTAACTCACCATCCTCGGTCGGGACATAGATATTTAAATAGAGGCAGTCTTCGTTCTGATCTTGTACGTAGGTGGAAACTACATCCAAGTTATTAGTAAACCACACGGGAAGCATGACTTCAGGCAACCTGCCTTCTATAATGTTCTGGGGACACACTGGAGCAAACTGGGTGGTATTTTTGATATCTGCCCAGGGGGACGGAGGCTCAGGAGGCTGAAAGCGGCGCTCCCCGGTCGGAGGGGCAGCATACGGAACCCCGAGAAACTGAATAACGGGCCCCAGAATTTCATTATTAAGTTCCTTCTTAATCCCTCTTATCTTGCCAAAGTTGGTGGTCACCACCGGGTTGGTATCATCCAATTTTTGGGAGGACACAGCTGCAGCGTGGAGCAAAAATCCCAGCGTACAAACAGCAAAAGTGGCATTCAATCCCATGTGTAGCAGGCGGACCACCGTCGCTCTCCATACACAGTTCAGCCACACGGATCTTGGAAAGGCCATGGTCCCACATTAGTTGTGTGACTACAACGAAGCAATCTGATTTGTATCCACTGGTGTAAAAACAGGGCGACCGAAGGAAACAGACTGAGTTTCCTAAATAGGTGCCTGTCAGAAAAATCTCAAAAGGCTTTTCATGCGGTAAGTATCTTCCATTGATTTCACACTTATTGAAGCTGCATCTTCACTCAGCACTATTTATCAGACTACATCCTATTGACAATTCTGTTTTCCATAGCAGCAATATGAAGAGAGCAGCCATTTACTGCAGAATCCCCTCTTATAAATCAAATCCAGTTAGCCGCAGGTCTATATCCTGGAGAAAATGAAAATAAATCATTAGTATGAAAGAGCTAATATGAGCAGAGTGATAACTAGATGTTTCACACGTTATTTACATACATTAATAGTTGCTAGAGTCATGTCAGTAAAACTGCAGTAGTTTATGGGTCCATGAAATGGTGGGTGAAACGCTGATTACTGGATTATCTATAATGTCACCTGTTGAATTTACAGAGACTTTTCAGAAGAAACAGGACTCATAGAAAACACATTTTTAAAATTCACCTTTTCAAGAATAAGCAATTTGCTGCCAGGCTACATTACTTAAGTGCTTATGTTATTATTTTATTTAACTTAATCAGTTCATAATCAATTTGCACCTTGTTTTCACAAGTAGATTTTTTAAAATGAAAGCAATTATTTCTTAAAGCAGAATGTGGGGAAATTAAGATAGACAGGCATACTGAAGACTCAAATGTACTTTATTTCATTAAAAACAGTTTATAATACATACAATTTTTTTTTTCATTTCAAAATACAGTGTCTGATTGAAACATTGAGTCAACTGGAATATATCTGTAAGGATAACATGAATTACTGTGTTTATTCATAATAACCTGAATTATCATACTTTATACGGTTTTCTTATTCCACAAGTTTCTGATAGCTGATGAAAAACACTTACAGACTGAAATGTTCGTATCAATGAAGAATCAAAACCTGTTCCCACTGAAGTCAACAGCAAATTCTGAATTTGCACAGAAGTATAACTGGACCTCTGTGGGTTGGTTTGTTGTTGGCTTTCTTTTTCAGAACTGATTTGGAAAAGGATGTGAACAGGCAGTTTAGGGATGGAGCTGTATATCACAACTTTTACATCAGATCAATCCTTCGTTCCTTATAAAAGACTGACTTCAGTGAAAAATGAAAATGCATGTTGAAAGCACTCAATTCCTACCACCCTTGATTTATAACATAAACAATAAACATTCCCATAAGACAGTAGAAATCTTATCTTTCATATATCCACATGCTGACTGAACAATACCCTAGAAAAATAATCAGTTAGGATCAGAGACTGCATAATCTGAAATTCCAGATGCTATTTTCAACTACTTTAGCTCAGAGGTTGTCACACAAGGCTGTGTTCCAGCACTTCTGAAAATTGCTCAGTACGTATCATTATGTCTTCCATATTCATGTGAAACATATTTCCAACACGACTTACAATATCCTATTATTTAAAATGCAGCGTTATACACAACATAGCAGTGTAATCTTACACTCCCTATTAAGCAGTGTGTAATGCACGAGAAATGTGTTTTGCTTTGTATAGGAAACATTTTAAACCACCTGCTTTTGAAACAGCATTGGCAGCTTTAATGAGAATTGTTTTTTTTTATCATGTCTATACACATTGTAGAGAGAATTCAAAAGAACGGCTTGTCTAATAGTCAGACTACCCTGCAGTTTGGGTTATTAAAAAGGAGATTGTAAAAGCTATATAGGACAGCAGGAGATTTGGTTCATGTCTAGTGTTCCTTTAGCTCTGAACAATCTATCTCAGGAGGCAATAAGGAGATAGATGAAGCTTTTCCACAATTTTCTCTCTCCCTTTCTTTCTCTGCTAATTCTAACACCTTCAGTGTGAAACTGCATTAACAAACAGGCTTATATCCTTCATTCTCCAGCTGCAAATTCTTGGCATTTTCTGGAAACACACCAATTTAGCTGCAGAAAATAATTCCCTAAACTTGATGTATGTGTTTGCATTTAGTTTAAAACACTTACACGGAATGGCAGACGTTCGCCTCGTGGAGGATTGTTGCATTTCAGATTTTGGAAGTAGTAGGATGTTACTGGATCAATAGTAAAGGTAGAGTATGCAGACAGGTGTCAGAGCAGAAGGCACCAAGTATAACTTTTCTGAGTTGATGTACAAAGAAAGATGGAAGCTTATTCATTAGTGGTATTCAAAAACCTCCAGAGATTTAAACCTGGGTCTTGCCATCACTAGGGGGTTGTTTTCCTGTCAAAAATGGGAAAATGCACTCTCTCTTCTTTCTCAAACTCAAACTTTTAAATAGCAGGAGATTAATCTCAGTAGCCCTCCTGCTACATGGTCTGGGAAAGGTCTGAGGACAACAAATCCAACATAAGTGCACCAAGGAAAAACATCCTCCTTCATTTCAAGCTGCTGAGTTGGTTCAATGTTGAAAATTACCAAGATGCTACTAATAATTCACCTAGCATCTGTTTTCAGATCTAAGACAACTTTTTAATGCACTTTTGATACCTAAAATGGTAAATTCAATGTAAATTCAAAGCAAATCCTAGAGCTGGACTACAGTTCTAAGTTTGTCCATCTGCTGGTTTGCCATTGTAGCTGAACAGCTCAGCTGTGATCTACAGTTCTGGTTTGCCTCCCATGGACAAGGCTTTAACCTAAGTCAGAGACAGGGTGTTAAAAGGTAAGAATATAACTCAATGCTGTGTTTGGCTATTCCTAATTAATTAACTACTGGGTAGTAGTTAGCCTCAGTAAATAGATGGATAGGCTATACAGGGCAGTAAATTGTAAAGCACCTTCTGAATTTGAATCAAAAGATTTTCATTGTATTTGCAACTTGACTTTTGGATTTGCTCTTTTAAGCCTTTCTTTTTAAATGGCTAAGTAACAGTTTATTTTTGAGACTGAGAGGTCAGATATTCAAGCCTGTCACTGCCTGCCCTGAAGCCATCACATTAAAAACACAAACTCAACGCAAATAAAAAGACTGAGATTAATCAAATCTTTTGAGACTTCCATGCCAAAATTTCATTGCGAGCACCAAGTGCAAGGGTAAACAGGGAAGCTGGCCAGGAGCAGGTCTTACTCATTGAGAATCAGTGCTGGACAAAATTCTCCTCAGTCCTTCCAGGTGAGCTATATAAGATTTTCCCTTGCTATCTGGACTTGGCTGAACTCAAATCAGTGGGAAAAAGGAGAAGCAATAAACAGCAGCAGGAATGCTCAGTGAGACAGGCAGGAGAATAAACTAAAGAGTAACGATGATCAGTGTGGGACAAGACTGAGCATCAAAATACTGTGGATCTGAGGAGGAGGAGAAACATTTTCAGATTTTACTGCTGTCTAGATTGGAGGATCACAATTGCTCCCTCTGGTAACACAAATGAATTCTACTGTAAAAGGTATTTGATAAAGTCTTTCATGGTCTTTCGAACAGTCTATACTGTATAGAGGGTTTTTTCTATCATCTATTATTTTATTATCTCCTTTTCTGAATTCAAATTACTTTATAGCTCAGATTCTGAAATACTTTGGAGAGGCATTTAGTATGCTGAGGAGTGAACAATCCAAGATAGCTTCAGTGCATCTTTGCATTTCCAATGACACAGGGCATCCCACAACAGGTCATATCTGCTGCAAACTGCAGCAGCTAAATTCCTCATTGTTGCTCATGCAGAGACCTTCAGATCTCAAGGGATGGTTTGATCTGTACCACCTCTCAATAGCTCCAATGGATTAATAAAACCTTTGGTGGCACCCAAGGCTTCTGGCCATATGCCAGCCTCAGCACATGTAAAGGCTATCATTGTTATGATTAAAAAAAACCCCACAAAACAAACAAAGAAACAAAAACCAAGAAAGGGCTATTTTCTTTTTAGCTGAAGATGTACTCTGTGATTTGATATTCATGCCTAAAAATACCTTTCCACCTCAATTTTGCCAGCAAATCCCAATTGCACAAACGTTCATACAAAGTGATTGTAAGAGTTTGGAACACTACACAGTGCTGCTTCCTTTCAAAAAACACAAGTGGTATTTTGCAGAATGAGCTCTATTTGCATCCATTTTTACTTACAACAGTCTCTACTTAAAACTAGGAGCCCTGAGATGTTTCACGTCTCTAAGAAGAAATCCATGTTCTAAAATACACTACGGTGCCAAACAGGAGCATGACCAGGGGAACAGAAGCCATTAGAGGGAAGGCTCTGACCCAGGGTGAACACTACATCAGTGTGACACACCAGTTGTAAACATGATCAGACAAATCCTCCAGAGATGAATCACAGAATTTCCCATCTCTTCTTCAGTGTTTCAGGTTAGCAAAGGGAAGTTCTGTGCCAAATGCAGAGTATTTTCTCTTAATGGAGCAGTAAAAAGGACCAGGTTGGATGGGGCTTGGAGCAACCTGGGCAAGGGGAAGGTGTCCCTAGCCATGGCAGGGGGTCAAAACTAGATGATGTTTAGAGGTGCTTTCCAACCCAAACCATTCTGTAAAAGATTTTAAAACGGACGCTGCTCTTGGCTATTTCCATAAATACTTGGTGAAGGGACGGGATTTGCATGTTTTTAGTCCAAGAAATTAACTACGTGCATTTAAAAACACAGGTGTATGAAATGATAACAGAGGAGACTGCAATCCTGAATATGTAGCACACGTAAGAAGGGTACAGCTCTGGTGGGATTTGGTTAACTCCCACATGCCACCACTCCTTCCACCTCAGAGCAGCTACAGGTCCGGAAGCTCCAGAAAGTTGTTACAAATCCAGCCCTGCTGAGAGGCAGAACCTTTGTCAAGATCACCAACAAAGGTACGAATGAGATACCATCCTGTTGGGCCCGCAGTCCCACCCCACATTAGTTTGAGATTACAAGTGTTATGTTACAAGGTCGGCAAACAGCCCACTGGTAAGGATTTCTGGATGCTACGAGCTGTGTAAATATATCACTCCCAGATCAGAGAAAATGATTCCTCGCTGCCATTCTCACATTCACCTCTATTTAATATGTTTTGTAGACAAAACCCCATATCCAATTAGTGAAAAATACAGTACTTAAATACACTATTCAATGCAGTGTAGCAAAATCAGTGAAAAGTTGAATTAAACTGAGTAGATGTCATTAGGCTCCTTTAAATTGTGATGCATTTTTCAGCTGCACTGTATTTTTGTTCTTTCCCATTAATGGGAATATTCACTAACTCAAACTCCTTATTAACTAGTATTTCCATGATCAAAAGATCCCTT